GAATGAGAAATTTCGATACCATGTGAATTTTCAAATTGAATTTCAAGGAAAAATCTTCTAATTTTTCTTTAATGGATGTAATTTCCAAAAAAAAATATAAACTTGGTAAAGAAATTTCCGATTTTTTCTTACGCCTTGGATTATTATAAAAAATTTTCAGACTTGGTCAATTGGGAAATGCGTTACACCAATTGATCCAAAAATTACATATAATTTTGAGAACAAATGCAATGGCAGTTTTTTGTTCCTAATTTTCCGAGAAAATTTTTTTTTGTATACTTGAGTGCTTCAGAATTATTCGATACACCTGAGATTGTTACACAAAAAATTTTACAAATTTAGTCAAAACTGAACCAATTGAAATTATTTTCTCATATCCTATAGCTTGTCATGATTAAAATGCCCGTGTAAAACTTTTTTTTTTAAACAATATTTATTGACTTTTCTCTTTTCTTTTTCTTATTTTTATTTACTGTTATTACTTTTATGCATTATAAACATCAAAATGATTGTAAACAATACACAGTTGGATTTTACAATATAAAGCAATTTTTCCTTTTTTTTTTTCTTTACAGTTATTTATTTCTCCGCTTACTTTATTTTGTAAATGTTTTCGTTTTTTTTTTCTTATTCTTATGTTTTTTATTAAAATAGATAACTGATGACAACTTTCTGTTTTTTTCTTTTCTGAAATTCTCAGTCTTAAAATTTGTTACGGATTTTTAAGTTTGTTTCAAAAGTTCATTTATATTATTCTTTAACTTTCATTTTTATATACTTAGTTAACTTTATGAGGGAAATGAACAACGCTGTATAATATTATATAGGGTAAATGCACCTATACGAATACTATAGAAAACCAAAAAAACGAAAAATATTGGTAGGTGGAGTAACAAAATTAATGTGTTGCTTTATAAATTTCATGTTACCTGATGATAATCAGTAAATCATAGTAGACATAAAAAAATTACAAAAACAAGAAAAATAACAAGGTAACGACCTATGAACCGACCTCGCGGTTTATAAATTTCTTTTTTCGTTTTTCTTTTTTCGAGAATTGCTTTTTTTGTTTGATTATTTTTTCTGTTTTTTATTACAATATTTTCGCTGGCTTTTGGTTCTTTAAAAAAGAGATTATATCAGTGAGATTATTAACGGGAAAAAAAAACATTAAATACATAAATAAAAGTTAAACTCATAAATTTTATCAAAAGGATAACAAAAACATTATTACATTTATATTTTCGGATTATTATGACTTTTACAATTTAATAAAATTTGTGTAATAATGTGAGTTGATTTGATTGTATTTTGTTTAGAAAAATTATTGTAATAAAATTATTCGGTATAGGTCCTGTATAGCTATTTTGACAACAAATCGAATTTAACTATTCTTTTTATGTTTTATTGTTTTTTATGTCATTTGTAAGTGTAGAACTATTAAAAGATAAGAATCAAGAAAAAAAAATAATAATATGTTTGATATATTTTTGGTTAAAACGAACTCGGTATGAAAAAACGAATACAATAAACAGATTAACGTTAATTTATTGTGAATGCTTGATTTTTTAAATGTTGTTTGTTTAATCATTGTTCGTTCAAAAAGAGGTTAAAATTTATGATCTATATAGTATAAGGATAGTAATAAATATCTAAAAATTAAGTAGGTATGTGTATGCTTTCACATTTGAGTAAATTAATGTAATATGCGTATAAGTATGATTTCAAAAAAATTATATGTATGTATTTCAATTCAATATGATTAATGTTTTTAAAAGGACCTCCTTATAATTATTGAAATATAATAATTATTAATGCAATAACATACAACCATTAACCAATATGAACAATTAGTTTTAATCAATGAAAGGACATATTTAAAAAAAATGAGATAAAATTTAATCAGCGCCAATTCAAGAGATTTAGGCACAAACTAGTCAGCATTATAATATTCATTTCAATATATTTTGTTAATAAAACTCATAATACAATGTATAACACTTCACTCTCAAGAAAACCTAGGATAATTATATTAATAAATCATTTTAAAAAAGAAAATATAATGGATACACTATAAATACTATAGTACTTAAGTGATTTTAGCTTAAGCTGACGTAATCTTCCAAATGGTACACTAACATCATCGGATGTCACCCCTTTCTCATTCGAACTAATTTGACTTTTTCAAAAACCGGTTAAAATTCCTAGCATTTACATTCACTAAATCAAATCAAACGTGATCTTAATTAATAAACCAAATGTATTTCCTTTATCTCATTAAATTTTCATTTCTAAATACAAGTGCATTTTCAAAAAATCTTTTTTTATGAGATGTTAACATTCTCCATAATTTTTAAATATTATAAAGAATTTGTGTTCGACCAGTATACTAAAAATTTTCACAATTTTTATCTTTATGCGATAAGAACAGATACTACACTTTGATCTTAGCCATAAGGCCGAGAAAACGAGATTTATGCGAATACAAATATTTCATTTTAACTAACATTGCGCCATCTTTTAAATTTATGGAGAACTATCACTATATATCATAAATTTTATACCATAACGAAAACTTTTCAAGAAAGCTTTTATCTATATAAATTTTTCAGTGAACGTTTTCACAAGTATAGTTTGTTCAAACAAATTATTTGTTGTTTATAGAGTGAATTGAGCGGAAATTGTGTACTATAATATAAATGTTATAATGCATGTAGCTATATATACATTATATGCATAAAACATAATGTTATAAAGGACATTGATAAATTATATTTATCTAGCTATAGGAAAATGAACAATTTATTATTAGCGACCGAATGGCATTCAAGGAGGAAGGAAGGGAAAGCATATAACCTTTCTTTGTTTCGTCAAGCTAGGGAAGCCTTGATATACTACTTTTAGAGAGATGTCGGTCTGTCTATCTGTACAGTCCTGTATCTTAACTTTTCACTTCATAAATCCTAAATTGTGCAAGAATATTTTTCTATTTAAATGTTATTTCTCTTGATACAAATTTAATAAAATAAATTTATTATTTTTTTTTTTAATTGTTTCTCACCCTCCGTGAAATTTTGAACTTTCTTGTACTAATTAAGTTACAATATTAATGTTTAAAAGCCTTTAATGATACAGGCCTCATTGTAGGTTTACTATGCGTAGGTAACTCCTTGAGGATGCATTCACGTATTCCATTGTAAATTAATTAAAAAACTTTTTTTTAACTAAATAAAAAAATTTTTTCCATTTTAACGATATCCCCCTGCTGTCAAATCAACTATAGACGTGTTAAACATAATTTTTAATAATAACAAAAAATGTAACAATCAAAATTAAAAAAGTAAAACCTAGTTAGCAATCATAAAATAAAAGATTGAGAGGAAAAACTTAGAGAAAGTCTATAAAATAATCTTGCCATTTTCATACATCTGAATGTACGTGCGTATTCCCTTATATTTCTTTTCCCTTTAAGGAAAGGAGTATGGTACAACATGACGTAAAATATTATTCTAGTTACATACAATATAACATGTTATAATCATATTCAATGACGTATATCTTCCCCTAGAAAGTAAAAAAAAAAAGAAATTAAAATGAAAAGGAAATGAATAAATAAAAATAAAAAGGTTATAAAAAGTCGACCAATTAACCCTATTAAAAGTTAATTTTTATGAATGGACTGTTTTAGTCGTAATAAATCACAATTAACGTAATAAAAACACGTAAAAAATTTAATAATATTTATATTTTTAGTATATGTATGTAGGTATAGGAATATGTTTTTATATGAATATATAATAATATTGTATATAAGTGGATTACGAATGGGTATGCCATGTGCACAGGCAGTAATAGCTCGCTATACAATCGGATATTTTTGTTGTTAAAAACACCAAACTATTTTAAGTGGGCTTAATTTTCAATACGTGTGCAAGATTTTGTGTGCACTATTAAATATTTATATTTTGTACTAAGATCAATTAGAAGAAATTTGTATGTTTTGTACGGAATAGACTATGATGCGTTGATCCGATCCGTGTAGTTTGCTCCCTTTTGAGTGGTTTCACTACTTTCATAACAATAGCAGTAAGTCGCTGTTAAAAGTATATTTTATGATTACTTAGTGTCCACTTGAGATATTCAACTTTTTGTAAATCACATTTAAATTTAAACAGACTGGAAGTTTTTGAAGTTAGTAAATTTTGCAATATGGCAACAGTTACACCATACTGTATCACTCCTTTTATTCACAATACATATTGCATACCAGGAAAAGTAAATAAAAAAAAATATAGAAAATAAAACAAAACATAAAATCATATATAAAAAAAAATTAAGGGTACAAAAATATTTTCAGGATGAAAACATAACAATCAAACAAATTAGCTTTTAGAGTGGCCCCTATTATTATTTTTACGATTTCTGTTATACATGTATGTATATATGCAAGCCTACTTATATATAACTACCACATATATATTCAGACATTAAAATATAACAATGTTCATAACTTTTAGTAAAAACAAATCTCAAAATAAGAATTTATTTTAAAATCCTTTCCATAATTTTTACTATTAGTCTCGTTATAATTTGTTCTGGTTATGCAAGGATAAATTTTAGAATATAATATTTTCTTATACATATGTATCTATGTATATATAATTACTATAAAGGTATGCAAAAAGAACAAAAGTAACAGTTATAGAAACGGACCCAAAAACGGAAGAAAAAAAATATTTAGGGCCATAAATTAAATACAATAAAAACACACACATAAACATGAATTTTTACTAATATTCAAAACCCTTTTTTTTTTGCTGTACTCTCGTACTCACTTATTTTTTATAGTTTTTTATTTTTTTATTTTTTTTTTATTCTTATTTTCTTTTTCTTTTACTGATTACTTTTGTACACGTACATAAGTCGTAAATAATTAGCCTGACTTTTTTCATTTCATTCATTTAACCTTTCTAACTCTCTCTCTCTCTCTCTCTTTTCAGAAAACAACATGAATGAAATCTGTAAAATGGAAATATGAAAATTAAAACAACAACAAAGAAAATAAAACAAAATGTGTAAGGAAATGTGAAATTAAATAACCGGAAGTGGTAAATCATTTTATTTAGACAAATTATAATTAGATATAAGCATATATACAGGCATATATATGTATATAAAAACAACAAATTATAATAAACACATATGTATATGTACATACATTATTCTTCACCCGTTAGTAAAATCGTTAAAAAATTTATTATGCGTGATAAATGCGAAAAATAACAGGAGCAACAACAACAACAAGAATAAGAAAATATAAAATCTAGTAATATAGAAAGGAAACTATAGGAGAAAATTGTATATGTAAAAAAGCAGAATACGGTAAAAAAATAAAAAGAACAAAACTAAAAAAAGAAACACAAAGGGGTGAAAAGAGAACGACAAAAATAAATCATAAATAATATTTTAATAACGAAAAAAAAAAAATGTCCAGTCATTCTGGTACAATTGGTAGAAAACGTGGTGAATATTATTTCAATGGAGATCAAATGCGTAGGCAGAGATCTGCTGAATGGCATAGCCGTCATGGATATAGTAGCAGTGAAGAAGAATATCAAAATAATGCTCCACCCGGAGCATTTGATACACAACTACTGGCATCACTTCTGATACAAAGTCAACAATTAGCAAGTAAGTACTCATTTCTATATTATATACAATAACGAATTTTTAGAATAAATTATTTGAAGCATTATTCGTAATTGAATATTTTTTCATGCAAGTATAACCGCTATGATTTTGAATGAATTAATGGCTGAGCTGAGGCATTATTCTAAATAATTTTTCTCTTCTGATGAATTTTATAAAGCTATAAGAAAACTTACTAAATCTGCGCTTCGAAGTCAGACTTTACATTGTTCTTAATTTTGTTTTAAATGAAAATTACCTTTGGTTTGTTCCAAATTATATATTAAAATTTGGCTGATGATAGGTCGAATTAATTCCAGAATTATAAACAAAGTTAAAAAGTAAAATCCATAGTTTAAGAGTTAATTATTTACGAAACTTTTCCTAAAAATTGCAATTAGCATTTTTCTTAGAACCTAAAAAGTGATATATTTGCAAGGACTGATATTGGGGTTATATGTATGTAATCCTTACTTTGCAATTTTTTATGTCAAATATTGACATTTCTGTTAAATAATGATATGTGGTGAAAATTAATCATCATATAGAAAGGAAATTGAATTTTTATGGTCAAATATATTCTCAAAATTGAAAAAATTTAATCATTACATTAATTGAACAATTTGGACGGAAAACTCCGCCCAAAACATGAATTCTTACTAGTAATCAGAAACTAATTTCAAGAAAATTACATTAAATTAAAAATCTATGATTAACTCGTTTAATACTTTATTGACAGTATTCAATTTTTTATTAATATTTTCAGATATAGATAGGTCTTATCGTTCTATCGACTGTGATAACGAAGAAGTAACTGAATCCTTATTAACGGATTATCCTCAACAACAGCAACAACAACAACAACAGCAATCCTCATATAATCAAAATATAATTAATGGTTCACCAATTAATTCTGCCAAATTATCAACAAATCCTAGAAATCCATTTAGCGTAAAATATGATTTACATGCATCAAATTCAAATCATTTAGATGCATTAGATCGTTTATCATATTCAGGTAGTTCAGCATTACTTGATAAATTACAACAACAAATATCAGCACAAAATGCTGAATTAAGTCCAATTAATAATGCAATAACATCATCATCATATTTAACATCAAATTTATCATCATTAAATTTAAATCCTAGTAGTACAAGTGGTGGTATTGGTGGTAGCGGTAATATTAATATTGGTGGTGGCTGTGGTACAATTGGTGGTGGTGGTACTGTTAGATCAAGTCGATCAAAAAATAATCGTCTTAATCGTATTAGTGGTATGACATCATCAAGTAGTGCAACATCATCAAATAGTAATCAAACACGTAGTGAAAGAGAACGTCAAAAATTACAACAAATACAAAAAGAATTACAAATTGCTGCCGCAGTTGCTGCTGCTAAAGAAACTGAAATAAATAATTGTGATAGTAGTTATGGAGATTCAATAGATAAAAATATATTTGAACCACCGCCAGAACCAGCACCACCAGAAATACCACCAAGAGCACAATCATTATTAATGTCATTAAGAAAACGTTCAGATTATCAATTAAAATATGAAGATAATGGGGACCAAAAACATGAAGAATTTATTCCTACAAGTCAACAAAAGGGTAAGTTATAACTTTTTTTTGTAAAATTCAAAAGTGCAATAAAACTTGCATAAAGCTTTTAGCTTTAAATTTTTTCGTAACTGCTAAAAATGACCGTTAATATAACCGTTAAATAAGTTTTATAAAAAATAAAAGCTTTCATATAACTGTATTAAAATGTTTTTCAACAAAATATCCTTATAATTGTTAAAATTACAGTTAATATTCGTTAAACAACCGTTGTTCATATTAAAAGCTTTTTTGATATGAGAAATATTTTTCTCACTTAACTTTTCGCGAAGATTTCAATTATTTGTGTATATTTTATATTCAATAAACTAAAAGCTTTACAAAGCTTTTCAAATTTCAGTTATAAATTGTTATAATTTATATGATACAGTTGCATTCCCGTTAATATTAACCGTTAGTTAACGTTTATTTAACTTTATATTTTTTGGTATTTCATTCAATTGTCAGCAAATTGTTTTTAAAAATTTTGTGCTTGTTGTAAAAAAGCTTGCCCAATAATATTATATTTACTTATGTTCCAAGTACCGTCCAACTATATTCAGCTAGAAATGTTTATTCCTGTTAATTATACAAATAAATTTTTAGGCAGGAATTTTATTTATTTCATAATTTTAAGATTTAATTTAATTTAATAATTTTAAGATTTTAGATTTAATTTAAAATTTTAAGATAATTTTAAGATTTTAGATTTAATTTTAATATTTTAGAGTTATCTAATACATATTGCAATAGAACACATTATCTATGTAAAATTAGGAGCCTACAGCTATAGTATTGTTTGACCTAGTACACAATAAATATCATATGACAGTGAACCCATCTGGTGAACAAGTAATTGATTACTTTTTCCCAAAATCTAATATAATTTAAAAAATATATCTTGCTATTGTATTGTAAATCAATTTTTATTAAAAAAAAAAAAGAGAAAACAAATAAAATTTTTTATTATTTCCCTCATTTTCAATCGGAAATAAAAATCCTACTTATTATTAAGACATTTAATGAAAAGGAATTTAACAAAAATTAGCTATTAAAATGTCAACAAAATATAATATAACACATTAAAAATACAAAATACAAAATGTGATGTAAGAAATCAAATAATCAAAATTTTTTAAATTAATATTAAGGTTGCCAGATTTTCATATGTTTTTCACATTTACCCAGAAAAACTAAGTTGATTTTCGGAATCTTTAATAATCACGGTTTGTTTTGCTCATTTTCACATATTTGGACTAAAACGAAACCCTTAACAAAAAATAATATTGTGAAACATCATTCCCTTCCCAACATTTCGTTCCAATTCCCACATTATATTTATAGAGACTGAAAATACGATAATTATTCAATCACAGTGATAGACTGTCGTTTTTAACTTCTAGAAACAGTAAAAAAGAATCACAAACGATTTCACTAATCGGCATTTTCATATCAGTGATTTACTAGATTACGAGTATTTAATTTATAGCCTTACGTAGATGGCCTTATGAGAGTATTGATAATTATTTTTTTAGCTTTTACAGTACCCAAATACAATATTTTTTATTTTTTAAAGTAAATTTGAATAGTCTTATAAAAGAAAACTGCTTTGTTGCTAAAAATCTGGCAATCCTAAACATCATACAAGAAAATTATACAAAATATTTAACAAGCCTCCATTTACCTTAAGTATGATCGCATATCATACATTTTGTATTATTTTTAACATAATCGCTTTTTAAATCATTTTAAACGCTTTAAATATTTTGCTCCCCAAACAATAAAATGCGTAAAATTTCTTCAAAAATGAAAATAATATAAAACATAAAATTTAATATAAAATTTAAAATGAATTCTCAATAATAACAATAATAATATTATATTGTCAGATTTTAAATTACAACAATATATTTGACATTTAAATTCCTCCATTGTAAATCAACAGGTTGGAAATTTTTCTATTTTTTTTATACTTTTTTGAAGTCTTAACACAATAATGAAAACTAATGCTTGTAATAAAATAAAATATTTTGTAGTTTAATTGCCATTTCATAGCTTTAATAAAGTTTTTATTTTTCATTTAATTGTCACCAGGTGTGGTCAATTTAAAAAGAGACTAAAAATATAGGAAAGAAAAAAATATAGGGAAAACATTCGTAGCAGTGCTTTTATTTTTTTTTATGTGAATTTTATCGCTTATCCGATTTTGTTTATTTTATATTATGTAAGGTACATGTGTATTTTAAATTTTAGCAGCTTTATAGCATGTTGTCCGGAACTGATTTAAGTGTGATAAAAAAAAATCTAATATTAATTATAGTACGTATCATATAGATGTTTTTGATTGTTTTTTTAACTATAAAATCATATAAAATTCTATAAAGAATGTGTTAGTTCAAGAGTATGAGGGCATGGTAGTTAATTTTTAATAAGATATATATGAAATTAGAAATACAATTTAATAATCGGTTCTTTTACATATTTTAAATAAAAATTTATAATTTAATTAATAAAATTTTCTCGCTTATAAGCTTAAAATTAATTCCCAGATTTTAGCACAAACAATTTTTTTGAAAAACTCAATTACTATTCCTTTATAGAACCAAATATTTTTTATTTAACAAAAGTTTTTAAGAAAAAGGAGCTATTTATGTAGTTTTATGCTTATATGTACCTTTAAATTTAAGGACCTCTGAAATGCTCTACTTTTGTTAGAATACCAGCTGAAACTAATATATTTGGAACAAGTAGATATTTCAATAAATTTTTTCAACAGTTGTGTTGGAATGAGTATACAGTTTTTTATTTAATACAACAATGATGTATAACATGAGGGGCCAAAATTATTTCACCAAATTCGAAATTTTCAATTGAATGACAAAACCGCATTATGTAGTATAAATTAGATATTTTATAATTACATCAATTTAAAAATTTAGCGAGTTCTGCTTTCATTTGTCAAAATATAGTTAATAATATTAATAAATAAAAAAAATAATTTAGTTTATTAAATTTAGGTATATTCAAATTAAATTTTTCCTAAATTAAATATTAGAGAGCTGATCTCGTTGAATCGTCCAGATTTGAGGCTAGTGGTTAGGGTCCTCAATGAACTGTTTCACTATCGTTCATCTGAAAAGGATGGGCAACGTGGAAATTGAGTTGTGTTGTTTGTTTTTGAAGGGGGGCGAGACGACGTAACATTTGCTATGCTAGTGTGAGGCTGTGACCCCATTAAGATTCAACTGCTTCGGGCAGGGCTTTGTCACCCCTTCGGAGGTTACACAATTCCGAATGGATATAACACTGCGATTTGTCGGAGACCTACTAATAGTGCTCATGTAAGTGGATCACAAATCACAAGAGATCCTATGGGTCGAAGTCAGAAGGGCTACGAGGGCCCCAGTCTCCCCTTTGAGAAGAAAAAAAAATTAAATATTAAAATGATATTAAAAATGATATTGATATTCAAAAAAAAATTCCAGCTCCGTTATTAATCTTAAATTCGGAGAGGAAAAACATAAAACATTTTATTTTATTTTTTTCTTGATTAAATTGGAAAAATTTCGACTTTATAATTATTTAACCATACTTAAAATTAAATTAATGTCAAATTAATTTCACCTGACTCAAAAATATTATATAACATTGCACTCATATTTTTTACATAATGTAATCTTACGATACATATACATACATGCATACATCCAATTGTCGTGCCTTTATGCTTGTACATATGTATATACATGTTATGTTCAATAATATTCTATACTGCAATTTCATAAATTTTTTAAAATCTCCAATCATCGATGTTCAATAAAAAGGATATACTTTTATGTTTTATGTTTTTTTTTTAACATAATGTTAGTGAAAATTATATAAATTATCGGGAATATGGTTATATCCTAATAAAACTCAATATAGGTATATAAGTATCTATATGTATATGCCATTACATAAATATTGTTGATATAATATGTAAATGTACTTTTATTAATTGCATAAGTTAAAAATTCTATATATACCGTATATTATGTATATACCTTATATATACATATGTGCATATACTGTATACGTATTCGAATATGTATAATGCATTTTAACGTTAATAGGTATACAATAATTGTACTTACATAGATTATATTATGTACTATGGTAGATACGGATATTTAATGGTCATTTTAAAGAAAAATTTTATTATTCCATTTGCATAATATTCAACTTTTTTTTTTGTTAGTATTCTTAAAGTTACGAAGGTTTATTCAAAAGTATGGGTCGCAAATTTAATGATTTTTTTTATTATGGATCTACAATTATTATGAAATGATTAGTTGGAGCATTTTAAAAGAAAACAAGATTATTTGTTATATAAAGGAAATAGTAATTTTGAAATTCTTCCTTTGTCCATAAATGCCGGACTGTATGGAATTTTCATATAACAAATCATCACAACAAACATCTCCATTCAGCAATTCAATTTGTTTGATTATTATTTTATATTTGAAAGTTCTATATATTAGTGAATTTTCATCATACAAACAAGACAAACAGCGTTATTGGTCTTCACTGTTCACGTTGCTTGAAAACTATTATATTGTATTTTAAAATTAATATTGAACATGAAATTATAATTGAATAAAAGCAATAATCTGTAAATACAAATAAATTAATCACCAATTAATTAAACTTGGTCCATACCACAAAAGTTTTCAAGAAAAAAATTTCTTCATGGAACAAAAATTAAAATGTTTTTTTAAGTACTGTTTTGAGAAAGAATGATACCTTTACTGATACTTTAATGAAATATTAAATTCCAATTTATGCTTGAACTATAACTCAAAAACTTTTCTATAAACCTTCATAATTATTTTTACATATTATTATTTTTTGTTTGTGTGTGTACCTACATGCATTTTCACATAATATGCTTACATAATATGCAAAATATGCAGAAAAATGTCAATATTGTAATTACATTATTACCATTTTCATTTTCTTTTTTATTCTTACAGATTATTTAATGGCAGATAATTCACGTTCAAGTGAGTTTCCGCCCAAGTCAATTACATCAAGCGATTCACAAAGTCAACAAGGGTAAGTACCATTAAAAAATCTATTTGTTTTTTCCTTTTTCATATTTTTTTGTATTTTATAATGTTTATTTTAATTTTTTACTTTTCCTTTTTACAATAATCCAATAAATTATCATCCAGTATAATTCCTTATTCGAATGCATATTTTCAAAGGATAACGCAATTTTTATATTATTGCGTTTTTTTTATTGTTGTTTTTGTCGTTAATATTTTTTAATATAATTCTTATTTATTCGGAAAAATGGAGAGATAAGTATATATGTGCATTTAAAAAAAAATTATAATTTATGCGTGAGTACATGAATGTATATGTATATAGGTAATCTTTTCCTCCGTGTATTCACACATATGTGCGTTCCGTTCATTTAGCGGAAGAAAATACTTTTTTTTTTTGGTTGGTTTTTTTCTATTTTCATATTCGTACAATATTATGTAAGTATCGAGAAAATATTGTCAGCATTATTGGTTATATTGTACACTATACAATACAAGAATAAAAATGCAAAAGAAGCTTCCGTTTTAAAGTAAAAAAAAAAATATTGAAATTGGTGTTTTTTTTCCTTGTTTGGTATAAAATTATAAGATGGAAATGCTTATGAACTTTAAAGTATCCTTCCTACTATGATATTATTTAAAAATAAAAAAATAATTACTTGTGTATAAGTATATATGTAGCTATGTATGTACGAGATGTTCTGGGTAGAGAGTGATTAATAATTTGAAAAATATGAAATGAATGGAAAATTTTTAATTAAGTATGAAAATTTTTCATAAATTGCCATTTATAAACTAAATACAAATAAGACCCCCACGCATCACTAATTTCGTGATTAATTACACACATTTTGCTTGTCAAGTGAGAACAAAGTTGAGTCTTTATAGTATTTTTCGCTATTATTTAGTTTTCAAAGGAGAACAATGCTACTTATTTTTTTAATATTCTCCTACCATGTAATTCATCCACACCGGCTTAAAAAATTACAAGTCTATTTAGAATTCAAGCATAATTTAATAAGTATACTTCATTCATCTGAAGAAAAAAGATTAATTTGATTAAAAAAAACCGAAAATTTTAATTTGACATTTTTTCACATTCGGTAAGTAAAAGGAAAAATGCAGTCATCGATACTACATATTGATATTTATAGAGTACGCACAATGCCTTTGAAAACCTTGAAAATTTTTCTATTTCTATTTTTACTAAACTACGCCTCACTGGATCAAATGAGTTACTTAAAAGCTACTCAACTGACAAATTAGTCAACTGACGAAACAGAACAGTCAACTGAAGAAACACGAAAACTGGAAAGTATTTTGTTTTAAAATTAGACTAAAAATTTCACATTCATCGAATTTTTATAAAATAACAATGATCACGTTTCCGCGACTTAAAATTAACGTAGTAAGATCTCGTATAAGTGTTGAAATTATTAAAAGAATAGATGAGTTTTCTCTTTCTATATAAAACATTAAGATTTTTCAATTTTCTTGTCTTCACTTGGAATCAATTCTTATAACTTTTTCTGTTTCTAAATTAACAAAATTAATTAATTGAACAATATTAGTTACAAATTGATTACAGTTAAAGGTAATATAAATTTGGCTGACAAACAGACGAAATCAAACTAAAATTAAAAAAAAAATACCATTATTTCGGTACAGAAAAAAAAACTTCATAAGAATTAAACTGCAACTGAATATTAATAATAAAATGAAAAAACAAAATTGATAATAACGTTAATATAGTGGAAATGACGATGAATTAATATAAATAATATCGAGTGCATCATCAGATAAGCATCATAGCACTTATTGCATAATTTTCTTTTTTTGTTTTTCTGTTTTTTGCTCTCCCCATATTTTACTAACTCTTTATTAAATTATTTTATTCGTGCATATATAAACAAAAAGCTTTATATAACACGTTATACATAGGTATATAAAATTTGTTGAAATTCTGAAAAACTCCTACACCCCCTCAGAAATATTTTTTTTTGTAAAACATATGGTTTTGTACATGCACTTTTAAAAAACTGTCACAATACAGGATATTGAATGCATTCTACAACCAATTTATTATTACTTGTATTTAAAAATAAAATATTAAAACAAAATAAATTACAAATTTCGAAATTGTTGAAAAATATATAGAAAAAAACAAAAATTAAAATAAAAATATAGAAAAGTAAAAATAGTTTAAATTTGCATTAAGTGGTCACATTGAATTAATATCAGTTTCAGAAAATAATAATATAATATTAAAAAATTAATAAGTAAATTTAAACATTTCAAAAATAAAATTTATGCACACCTATGTGGTATAGATAGTTGGTGACTATATTATTATATGCGAGAATATCTGTTATACACATCACGAAAATAATTATTATTATAATAATTAAAACCTATACGTATATAATAAGAATATATGATGTGTAAATGTGTGTATGAAATTCATATGCCATACAGTCATACTGAATTTTTAGTAAGCGAATTAAATTTTAATGCATTTATAATGAATATTTTAAATTAAAATTTAATGAAACTAATCTAAAATTATTTAAATAATCTTTTAATTGCTAAAATTTATATTGCTATAGCTATTTATTATACAAAAATATTTTATTCGAGTAAAATAATTTATTCAAATAAATTAACGATTAGAAAATAATAATATTTTTCATGTACCTTTTAATATAAATATTGATTAATTTGAAACACTCGCCAAATTTTACGCTTGTCGTTATAATTTGATTATTAAACTTAAATTGTGTACGTATATTACAATTAAATTTGACTCCTGAAGAAAACTAATTAAAATTTCTTAAATAACAATATCGTATTTTTTGATATTTAGGCTATTAGAACAAAAATAAAATTCCATATTTTTGATAAAGAAATTGATTTAAATATTTTGCTGGTAAATTAGTAGTTTCCAAAGCAACATTATTATAAAGGTATAATACCTCTATTGATATACACTTGTAATTTTAGAAAAATTTTAAAATAAATTTTTTTATTGTACACCATGTTGAATAAGAGAGTTCATTCAATTTTTAAAGAACATTAAAAATTATTTGATTGTCGTAAATTTAATTAAATTTAAATTTTCTGTTCTTTCGTGTAGTACTAGTTTGTATGACAGTTAGTGCTTGGCCTGTGATAATAAACTATTATCACATGCACAATTTACAATTTATTTTACATATGAACTTTACAAAAAGGTTCGATTAAATGTTTTAAATCTTTGTAATTAAAAAATACACCCATTATTAACATTTAAAGGTCATTATTACTGATACAATACCGTACGATTTTTTAAATTGAAATGAATAAAATTGAATAAAATTGCATATGTTCTGGCGTTTTGTATTATTGGATTTATTTATGATTAGAAATCTTATTTACAATTCTAAAGCCAATAATTTTTAACAGAATTTTGATGAAGTGTAATTGTACAATAGTTATATAATTGTACTTTTATTTTACAATAATTGCATTTAACATAAAATAATTTCTAATACAAATTTATTTAATATAACAAATTATTTCCAATTAAAAATAGCTATTTATCAAAGAAAAAATTATTGATATCTAGTCAATGTAGTGAAAAATTTTTTTGTGTGATCTTCATTTCTTCTCTGTTATACAATATCGTAAGTTCACGCGTTTAAAATCAAAATATGCAGTACACGAATGATATTTTAGATATTTATACAATATACAAAAATTTTTCAATATATTAAAACAAATTTTATAAAAATTCTTTTTCTATTATTTTCATTAAAATTAAATAGAAATTATTGAAAAAAATTCAAGTAAATAATTAAATTAATTATTAAAAACTTATTCTATATAAAACCATTCAATATTAAATTAGAATGTTGTGTATATGCTTTGCGAAGCAAAAGTTTGTAAAGGATGCAAATATTAAGTGGGTTATTGAGTGAATTTGAAATATTTATTAATTATAGTAGAATTTTTTTAACTTTTCAAATAACAAAAGAATTGGAAACTCGTGGAACGTAAAATCTATATTATAATTTCTGGTATTGAAACACGTTTAATTAAACTTGATGGGTTTCCTTCAAAAAATAAAAATTATATTATATTAGATTATGAATGCAATGAAAAATAGTTGCATAAAATAAAGAAATTAATTTTAATATATCACTCCTAAAGCAAAATTTTTAAATGAAATTTTCTTAATTTTTTTTTTTACTTCTTCCCTTGGGACGTCTATTATTAAGAAAAAAAGAACTATATAGGTATTAATAATATAGGTGATAGTTTAAATTTTTAAAGACTATATTGAACTACTGGCAAAATAAATATTACTAAGTTTTTATAAAATAATTAAAAAAATTTTTATAAATATCAGGATAATTCGGCGAAAACAAACATTTTGAGTGCATATCTTACAACGATGTATTTAAAAGAATTGCTTAAAAAAATACAAGAGAATAGGTGAACTTGTCTGTGTCAACTTTGTCATACCCGTACAAATAAATAATCATAAAAATTATATTATAATTCCCACTATCACTTGTTGTAAAATACATATATTATTAATATAATCGAAGTTAGTTATCACAAAGATTTTTACTGCGACTCTATTTTCATATACGTTTGTACAAAATTTCTGTACTCCAATTTCAATTGTTTCCATAAGACAGGATTGAATGACTTTTTTGAAGTTGTATTGTGGCTTCCACTACGAGTCGTGGAATTTCAACTAATTTTATAATTAAGTGGTAGTACTTTTACTAAAAAAATGTGTCCATGTTACCATATTTATTTGTAAGAATTTTCAGTACCGTACCTCAAATAGCTTATAAGATATAATCAAATAACAATTGAAGTTGTAGGACAGCGTTAGCGTCGGGACGGACAAACGAACAGACAGATGGACGGCCGGACCAGCATAACGATGAAGGGGGAAACAGAGAGAGGATATACGAACAGACAGGTAGACATACTTAAATCGGCTGAGAATTCAAC